ACACAGACATCCCACAGAACGCTACTTACTCACAGATTTAAATAAAGAAAGAAATCTAGGCTCCAACACATGCTTGTCTCCAAATTTCCTTTCCCCAAAATATAAACAAAAATTACCTTTGCAAAGTGTACGTAACGTAAGTCACTGGGAGATTTAAGGAGGTTACAAGTATAAATCAGTTGCAATGAGCTTAAAACCCTCAATTAAAATAGTCTAAAACCCAGGGTTTGGCATTCTCCATCAGTCCAACCCTTGTAACTTTGGTCTGTTATTTACGGTCTGTATCACCCACGACACTGACTGATAACAGTTGTCACAGCACTAGCTCGAGGGTTCAAAATGTGGCAAAAAGGGGTGCTGAAGTACACTGACAGAAACTACAGTGCTCGTAAGGCAAAGTCCTGCACTCGGGTGCTGCCTGGCCAGCACTGCCCAGGCATCCGAAACCCAACAGCACCAATTACCAGGACACCGAACTTTTTAGGACCAATTCCAAAGCCACAAAGCTTTATGCTTCGAATAACATGGGTGCAAGAAGCAACCCACTCTTACTTTAACCTACAGAAACATTAGTAGTGGGGTTCCCCACCAGGGAAGCTGTGCAATACTTCCGCTGTATTCTAAACATACAAAACCTGGTTTAAGGCTTCGTTGAAAATACCGATTCACAGAACGCTGAAAAGCCACATGAAGACTTCTGCAAAATCTGTATAACAAAATACCTACAAAATTTTTCATGCAAAACAGGAGCAGACACTACGAGCACAGGTCTGAGCACCCGTTCGGTCTATACACTTTACTGGCACCATGCAAGTCCTACTTTCAGGGACAGACTTGGTCTTCTTCCAGAAGAGCTGTGCCCATCACCGCCTGGAAACAAACTTTTTGAGTAGGGGAGTGGAAAGTGGGTAGGGACGCCCTTTGGCTACTAACAAAGAGAAACAGCAAGAGTAACGCAATACAGAAGAACAGCAACTTACAAAAAGAAAAATTGTTGAATGTTTTAATGCATTTTGAAGAAAATGAAGAAAAACATTTTACATCTAAAAACAAGTTAGCATAATAATAAAAAGTGGTTCCACATAACTTATAAATTCATTTTTTCAAAAAGGTGGTTTTCACAGATGTAGGCAACAAATATGTTTTATTCGAGATCTGATTGTATACACCAAAACGATGTGCACTGCTTGAAAGACACAAAAGCTTGATTTTGCCCAGTGATGAGTTCTCTGTGAAATTCTGCACAATACTGAAACCGTAACTGCAACTCTCCTCCATTTCATGAAATGCTGGACATTGTTCCGTGCTGAAAAACACCCTTTAGAACATTCAAAGCCAGAAAATGTTTCCACATACCTTGTCACTGCAGCATCACTCACCAGCACCACTCGCGTGCGATCTGCGGGGGATGGCAGCCTCGCCTTACCCTTCGGCACAGCACAGAGCGAAGCCGAGTGACACTGAAGTGCTTAGCTGATGAAGTATTAGCCTGCTCATACGAACGCGGCTCTAGCACCTTGTTTGGCTGATCTTTTTCAAAGTGAATGTGTGTAATCATCCCATTCCTGGTGCCAGAGGACCGTCCCTCTGGTGATATAAGAAGTTTGCAGCAATGATGATTAAACTGCATCGCGCGGAGTGGTCCTGTATTACATATGTATTAGAGAAGCTGAAACAGTCAATTTAGTTCAG